GTGGTATTCAATTAAAATCAATTTTGATTTTTAGTTTATATGCAAACATAAAATGTGAAGCAATAATGCAGAATATCAGTTTAAAAGGTGTTTAAGACATTGTTGAAATTAACCTATTAAAATTACATTTTTTTTGTCATTTTAGTCATTTGGATTGGATTTGTCTATGGCTTAATATGCTAAGACTAGATGAATCATCACCTGTATACTGAACATATAGTTCCGGTGGGAACATTCTGTTCCATTTTAATAAAAACCATGAGGTTGGAGATACAAGAGAAGTCCTTGTTCTGATTCCAGCAGATTTGCTGTTTAGTTTTTTCTTTCCTTTTACAACCTGTGATTACCCACCTAACTCTCTTCATATAGCATATTGTTACCTAAGTAATTCTTCCCCTTGTGCCTGTGTTTGCTTTTTCAACTAAACGATTAAGTGTCTTAATTTCTAGGCTAAGATACTTCTTTCCTCCTTCCTCCCTAAATTTCCTTACTCTTTCTCTGCCCTGAAAGAAAGGGGTAAGATGATGAGTACCAAGAATAAAAGTATTTGACTTCATCTAGGAGGCCAGAGGAGGCTTCCCTAAGGAGGATACATTTAAGCAGACATCTGATGGATGAAGTCAACTAGGAGAAGAGGAGGAAGAAATAGCATTTCAAACAGAGGAAAGAAAGGGCATGGGCAAAGACCCTGAGGTAGGGAGGAGCAAAGCAAGCAGGAAGAATTGGAATCAAGCCAAGTGGAGAATGGGCTGAGAGAACCAAGGGAATGTATGGTGTGAAATTAGACTGGAGAGGGAGGCAGAGTTCAGACCTTCTAGAGTTTTTTAGGTCATATTTAATAAAGATCAGTGCTTATTCTAAGACCAAGGAGAAACAAATAAAAGGTTTTAAGCATGAAGTTGACCAGATTTGCAATCTGTAAAGATCCTTTTGGCTGCAGCGTGGATGGTACTTTGTGGTAAAGGATGGAAGTGTGTTGATTGGTTACAGGCCATTTTAGTGGGGTACACTGGAGAGGATGGATCTTGGGATAAAGTTAGAGTGGTGCAGTTATAGAAAAGATAACAGATATAATTCTTAAATCTCAACAGATACGTTGTATTAGAAATGGGAGAGGAAAGAGAACTGTGTGAAAAATAACTACTAGATTTCTGATTACAGCATTTAGACAGCAAGGGAATCCCAGAAGCAGATCACATTTTGGGAACATCATGCATTTCAGAGGCAGAAAATTTCAGATGGCTTTGAGACACACAAGAGGAAAGGTTGAACACTAATAATGATAATAGCTAATATTGTTGAGCATTTACAGTTATTATAGCATTTTTTAAGCTGGGGACATGGAAACACAGATGTTAAGAGACTTGTCCAATATCAGACAGTAAGTGGAAGAAATGGGATTTGAATCTACATACTTCACTTCCAGAGCCCATGCATCTTATCACTCTGTATGCTGCCTGTGTAGACAGATGTGGACCTACAGATATGTAGGTGTGGAGCTCATAGAACGGGTCTGGACTAGAGATTAAAAGTACAGAACAAAAAAATAAATTTTTATTTATGTCTCTGAAATGGATGAGATATCCTAGGGAGAGAATGTAAAGTGAGACATGATGTTTACCTTGAGGCTCTTCAGCATTCAATGGCCAAGGATAGCAAGATAGGCAGAGGGAACGACCATGGGCTTCTGGTTGATATAAGAGAAAAAGGGGAGGTTAAGGAGATAACGAACAGTGGTGATTTTACTGCTAACACATCCAGTACGGAAGGGTCTTAGAGGAGTGGCGTAGTGGGGCTCAAGCACTTTGGGAAGTGAATAGGAGATGAGGACATGAAGTCAGAACATTTAGGCAACTCTGTAGAGAAGTTTATTTGAAGCAGGAAGTGTCTAAATAGGCCTGTGAGCTACAGCTGGAGGGAGGTGTGAGGCCAAGCAGCTTTGTTTTGCCGTTATTTTAAAGGAAGAGACTGGTGTTTGTTTAAAAACCAGTGCAAAAAGATCTGCATAAGAAGAGGTTGAATATATAAATGAGAGAAGGAATAATATTTTCATGTTGTTGGGAAAACAGGAGAGAATGGGATTAGGCATATGCAGAGAGTCTGGCATTTGGAAGGAGGAGGGGCACCACTTTGGTGTGTCAAGTCTGGAGTAGGGAGGACTGGAGCCACTTTGGTAAGTTGTATGTGATACCGGGAAGGAGAGTGACTTTCCATCAGATAACTTCTGTTTCCTTTGGAAAATGAAGGTGAAATAATCTAGAGAGAGCCTGAAGAGGAGAATAGTACTGAAGGTTTGAGGAGTTAAGGAGAGCAGGTTTAGTGTCAGGCATCAAAGAGGCTGGCTCTTGTGTTTCCAAAAATAATCTGTGCAGTGAGTTTCCTAGTTGAACACAAACACCCTTTTCGGAGCAGTTGCAGAGTTTGAGAAGATGGGAATTTGTAGGACACAGAGACTTACGCTGCTCTAAATGTGGTTTCTGTATTGTGTGTGTCCATTTCTCCTAAGAGTGAGGTCAGTATTAAAGCTGAGAAGGAGATAGGAGGCATGAGATGGTCTGTGGAAATTTTTAAACACATTTTTAAGGCAAACATTTGTAGTGATTTAAATTACTTTATTGAAAGAGTCTTCTGACATATCACATGTTATCTTACATTTTACTTATTTTAGAAAACAGTTTATTCACCAGCAAGGCTCTTCAACTGGCTTTTTGAGGACAGGGCCCCTTTCTCACTAAGCAAGCTACTGAGTGTGTGTCCCACAGGTATTTGCTAAATAAATGGTGAGAAAAGCGCTAGATATTACAACTCTGTTGGTACTGTGGCTACATTTTATTTGGCCAAGGGATTTTTTTGCTTTATGTTTTTTTGTAAACCTAAATAGATGTTCTCATTTGAAATTATAATGATCTCCATTTTTTAACGTGCCAAGAGAGTGATTTTCCCTTACCCAATTAAAAGTTTGATTTATTTAATGTAACTGAGAAGTGTGAATCATAAATGAAACATTATATGTATTTATTTTTCATATTTTTTAAGTTATGAAAATATATTTGCTTGAACTACTGTATTCTAAGATTTTGATACATTTTTTAGTGACTCTTCTGTATGTTTTCTATTCCAGAAAATATGAAATTTTAGTTTTGATTTTTCATAAAAAGATACATTGAATATGATAGCTTTAATTTTAACTCTACTAATTTAGATTGGCCTAGGGACAACAGAATGCTTACATAAAAATTCTAAAGAACACAGTAAGAAATATTTTATTTTTACCATAGGTAAAAAGGTGATGAGTTTCTCTAACTACAGGTGGGTTTTTTTTTTGGTTTTTTTTTTTTGGCCAAAATACAAATAAAGATTCATCTAAAGCAGTGGTTCTCCAAAGGGGTGGTATATCAATACTAACGTATAAAGTTGCTTTCTGCCCCTTTGCAAGATTGTGTCTCCGTTCTTCATGCTACCAAGCCCCTGCTGAGACTCTCTTCATACTGACTAGATTGTTTTCTGCTCCAGTCGGGTTTGGAAGTGTTCGCATTTTTTTTTCTACTGTATATTTGCCTCTTTGTCCATCTGTGGCTGTAGGAAGCTTATCCTGGGAGTGGAGGAAAAGATGTTTTGTCATTGCCACATTCTTCTGGACATAGACTGGAGGACTATAGGAATGTAAGCATTTGCTGAAACATAGTACTCTTTTCTGTTTGTAAGCACCTATTCATTATTACTGTCATCAACCCTTATCTCTATCTTTCCCAGGGTTCCTTGATTCCTTCAATCTATGATCACTTTAAATATGGTCTTTCCTCTCCCCTGCACCTGTAGTCTCAGGTGAATCTTCTTCCCCACTCCCACACAAGGTAATTGTACTCTAACACCCTAGAAAAACCTGAAGTTTTTGTGCAGCCAGCCTGTCCTGCACAAGGACAGAGAGCTTCAGGAGCTTGCTTTTCAAGAAGTACCCAGCTGAACCTAGGGAGCTTCAGTCCTCAGGAACAAATGTGAAAGAAGATCTAGCTAGACAAACTGTGAAAAGAATACATTTACCTGCCATGACCTTTACATTGGTTGTTAGGATAGTTCAGAAGTCTCTTTGCATCACTATACGTACCCTACTTGTGTGGATATTTTGTGATATGGTCATCAAAATTGGAAGAAGGCATGGCATACCAGCTTGAAAGAATATTTTTAGATTCAGGCTCCATGGTGGTTACCATGTGACTGCTTAAGCCACAGCTGCTTCTAAAACACCTTTGCTATACTTCACTTTTTCTAATTTAATTAGATCATATAGTTAGTATCATTAATTTGGGATGGAAGCACCCTTCTGTCATGACTACTGTCCCTCACAAGTTTGAAAATGATTCACCATGCGTATTAAAAAGTAAAATGCTTTTATTACTTTCATCAAGAGGCCATATGATACAAAGGTAAGCTGTTCAGGATGAAGATGAAAAAGTAAGTAGGAAAAGAAAATTAAAGTAAAAAGTTACTTTCTGAGATTTATTATTTCTGGCACTATTTTTGGATTTTGGGTTCATATTTTAGAAGGTAAAATCTCAGTCGACAATCAGGAGTTCTGTGTTTTATTCAGTTAGAAAGTTTTGATGTATTTGGAAAGTCATGTAATTTTCCTGTTGTCCAAGTAAAAATGGCCATGATTCCATAGTAGAAGCTTATGGAGACTATGTGTGAAGGTTCTGAATGATTTATTACATAATCATAGAAACAAAAGTTAAGTATTTCTTTGGTTTTGTAACTTCATATAATTCAAGAGATAGTATTTAAGTCATATTCATGTATATGTTAAAAAAATTTTAGTACTTTACTAAAGTGGTAAACTTTCATATTACACAGTTCAATAAGGCAAATATCTTTATGACTTTTGCATAAGATCCTAAATACTGTGTTATTTTTTCAAAAAAAATGTAGATGTGGTGTTAATGATATGCTAATAATACTGTTTTGTAATTTTAAAAGTTTGTAAATCCAGTTTTCTTTTTTAGGTGTGTTGAAGAAAGTACACACATCTTATCTTCTGAACATTTTGATGGAATTAACCACAAACCATGCAAGAACAGTAAAAGGTATTTTGTTAAATAATTTTTGCATATTGATGTAGTGCTGTTAATTTCTAGATTTTCCTCACAAAGGCCTACCTTAAATCAACTGCAGTGGATACTACTTCACAGAGCATATTTTGTAAGAGAAGTTTCTTAATCATAAAATATATTTATTCTGTACCAAGTCATATGATACTTCTTTCAGAAAGTGCTTGTGCAGACAAAATTTCAGTATTGGTAGTATGAAATAGCATCATTTATTTTCACTGTGCACTTGTATATATTTTTTATATGCAGAGTACATGTAGTCGTGTATTTAAAACATGCCCATGAGACAGATATGAAATTAATCAGGAAACGTAGGACAGCTGCGTTCATTTCCTACTTTGCTCTCCTTGGAGTTCTTCAGAATAGATGTGTTTAAGAGTAAATCCAAAGTGAGCATCTTACTGTGCATACCTCTTAACATTAGGATGATATTAAATGGCGTGGTGAGCCCTTAAAAAGGTAAACACCCTCCTGAAAACACCAGAATAGCTTGGGCTCCATTCCCAGATCCCACGTTATAAGCCACATAGACCTAACAGACATCTGTAGAATACTCCACTTAAAGAGCAGAACACACATTCAAGTGCATATGGAACACTCTTCAGGATAGATTATTGGGACATAAAATTAGCTTCAATATATGTAAAAAGGAATGAAATAATACAAAAGTTTGTTCTCTGACCACTATAGAATACAATTAGAAATAAGTAACAAAAGAAAATTTGGGAAATGCACAAATATGTGGAAATTAAATAATATACTTCTAAATAATCAGAGTCAAAGAAGAAATCACAAGGGAAATCAGAAAATGTCTTGAGATAAATTAACCTAAAGCACTACATACCAAAATTTATGGGCTGCAACTTTAAAAAGCAGTGTTTAGAGAGAAATTTATAGCTATAAATGCTTATTTTTTTCAAAAAAAGAAAGATCTCAAATTGATAATCCAACTTTTCACCTTAAGTACCTAGAAAAAGAAGAGTAAACTAAACCTAAGCAAGCAGAAGGAAGAAAATAATAAAAATGAAAGTGCAAATAAATGAAAAAATAAAAACAATAGAGAAAATCAATAAAAGCAAAAGTTGGTCCTTTGAAAGATCAGCAAAATTTATGAACCTTTAGCTAGACTAACCAGGATAAAAGAATAATCAGCAATGAAAGAGCGGATACCACTACCAACTCTACAGAAATTTAAAAAAGGTAATTATATGCTAAAATATTTGGTGACTTAAATGAAATGGATAAATTCCTAAAAAACAAAAACTACCAAAACGGAGTCAAGAAGACAGAGAAAATATGAACCTATAACAAGTTAAGTGATTGAATTATAATTTTAAAAATTTCCCCCTTCATACACACAAAAAACCCAGGCCCGTATGTCCTCACTGTGAATTTTACCAAAAATATAGAAAAGAATTTATGCCAATCTTTTACAAACTTCTCCAAAAAAATACAAGAGGAGAGAATACTTCCTGACTGATTCTGTAAGGCGAGTGTATTACCCTGATAAAAATGGACAAGACAACAAGAACACAAGAAAACTATAGACTAGTATCTTTGGTCTATAGTTCTGATGTAAAAATTCTTGGCTGGGTGTGGTGGCTCACACCTGTAATCCCAGCACTTTGGGAGGCTAAGGCAGGTGCATCACCTGAGGTCAGGAGTTCGAGACCAGGCTGGCCACCATGGTGAAACTGCGTCTCTACTAAAAATACAAAAATTAGCTGGGCGTGGTGGCTAGTGCCTGTAATCCCAGCTACTCTGGAGGCTAAGGCAGGTGAATAGCTTGAATCCAGGAGGCAGAGGTTTCAGTGAGCCAAAATTGCGCTATTGCACTTCAGCCTGGGCGACAAGAGCAAGACTCCATCTTAACAAACAAAAATTCTGAACAAAGTGCTGGAAAATTAAATCTAGTGACATGAAAAGCATTAACATCAAGACCAAATGGGATATGTGTCAGGAATGCAAGATTGCTTTGACATATGAAAATCTGTGTTGACACCACATTACTAGAATAGAGAACAGATGATCATCTTAATAGACACAGAAAAAGCACTTGACAAATTCTAAGTCCCTTTTATCATACAAACACTGAACAAACTAGGAATAGAAGGGAACTTCCTCACCCCGATAAAGAGAATCTACAAAAACTACACAGCTAACATCATACTTAATGGTGAAAAACTGAGAGTTTGCCCTCTAAGATCAGGAACAAGACAAGAATGTGTTATCTTACTGTTTCTATTTAACATTGCACTGGAGGTTCTAAGCAGGGCAGCTAGGTAAGAAAAAGAAAAGCATCCAGATTGGAAAGGCAGAAGAAAAACGTTCTCTGTTTGTAGATGACATCTTTTATGTAAAAATATCTAAGGAATCCCCTAAAAAATTGTTAGAACTAATAAATGAATTCAGCAAGTTTGAAAGATACAAGATCAGTACAAAGATGAATTGTATTTATATATGCTACCAATGAACAATCTGGAAATTAAGAATAAAACTGAGAAATTAAGAAAACAATGACATTGGCAGTAGCATCAAAGAGAATAAATATTCAGGAATAAGTATTTACAAATAAGCAAAAGAAGTGCAAGACTTGCACACCAAAACTACAAAATATTGTGAAAAATTGAAGACCTAAATAAGTGGAAAGACATCTGTGTCTTTGAATTGGAAAACTCACATTGTTAAGATGGTAATACACCCCAAATTGTTCTAGTTTCAATGCAGTCTGAAAATTTCAGCTGCCCCTTTTGTAGAAATTGACAAGTTGACCCTAAAATTAATATGGAAATGCAAGGAATCCATAATAGCCAAAATAGTATTGAAAAAGAAAAGCAAGTTTGAAAACTCCCCATTCTCAATTTCAAGAGTTACTACAAAGCTATAATAAATAACAGTGTGGTACTGGCATAAGGATATACATACAGATCAATGGAATAGGGTCTAAAAATAAACTGTTACATCTGTGGTACACTGATATTCAACAAGGGTACCAAGACACTCTGATAGTCTTTTCAGCCAGTAGTCTTGGGACAACTAGATATCCTCACACAATATATAAAAATTAATTCAAAATGGATCAAAGACCTAAATGTAAGAGATAAAAACAATATAAAACTCTTAGAGGAAAACATAGACTGAAATCTTTATAACCTTGTGGTAGGCAGTGGTTTCTTAGATTGATACCAAAAGCATAAACAACAAAAGAAAACTATGTAAGTTGGACTACACTAAAATGAAAAACTTTTGTACTTCAAAGGACGCCATCAAGAAAGTGAAAAGACAGCCCACAAAATGGGAGAAAATATTTGCAAATCTTTTATCTGATAAAGAACCTGTATCCAATGTATATAAAGAACTCTTACAACTCAACAATAAAAATAACCCAATTAAAACTAGTCAAAGAAATTGAATAGACATTTTTCCAAAGAAGATTTGCAAATTGCCAATGAGCACATGAAAAGATTCTCAACATTGTTAGTCATTAGGGAATAGCCACAATGAGATACCGCTTTGTGCCTCGTGGGATGGCTGTAATTTAAATATGGACAAAAACAAGTATTAGTGAGGATTTGTTGACATTGGAAACCCTATACATTATTGGTGGGAATGTAAATGGGAAACTTCTTTGGAAAACAATCTGGAAAATCCTCAAAAGGTTAAACATAGAGTTACCCTAAGACACAGCCATTATTTATATTGAAAACCTCTTCCATTCCTGTGTGTAACACTGTAAAGGGGTAAATGTTACCGTATGTGAAGTGTATCACAAATAACTCCTCCTAGGTGGTCTGTTACTGTGTCAAATTCTTAGGGTACCATATGAACACAAAGGGGTATGAACCCAACCCTCTAGAGCTTCTTGTCTGTTAGGAGTATGAGGCATTACAATTGTGGTAAGTACCATCAGGGAAAGATACAGGGGCCACTAAGATTATTAACAGGGATATCTGAACCTACGTCAGGGACAGTTCTCTTTAAGGGGGTGATTTTCGCTTGAGATCCAAAGGATGAATCCAAGCTATCAAGGCAAAAAGGGCATAAGATAAGAGGGATTACAGGAAGTGGGGGCCAACACGTGTAAAGAGTCTGTCAAGAGAGTCACAGGTTTTTCAGGAAATGGAAGGAAGGTCAGCGTGAATGAGACAAAGAAAATGAGGGGGTGAGGAGTGCATCCGAGAAGAAGGTCCAGACCAGACTGTGCACAACCTCATCAATGTGTTACAGCTTTGAAAGGTTTTCAGTCTGGGGTGACACATTCTAATCTGTGTTTTGAAGATATCCCTCTGGCTGTGTCAGTTAGAAAAGGGGCAAGAGTGGAAGTGGGAGGGACCAGTGAAGAGTACTCATGGTCTAGGCAGGGACTGATAGAGCAACTTGCACCAGACAGTTGGCAGTGGAGACGAGGAAAAGTGGACATATCTGAGGGCTTTTTGGAAGATAAAATTGATACTATTTGGCGAAAGCCAAGGTAGGGGAAGTAAGGGAGGGAGGTGTAAGGCATGGCTCCCAGACATTGGACTTTGGAAAGTGAATGAGTTGGAGGGCTGTTTCTAAGCCAGAGATTTTCCTTCATGATACACTTTGTTATGAACAACTTCAAGTAACATGATTGGATTTTTTTTCTGTTGACAAGTATCTCTTTCTTACTGAGGCAGTCACATATAATACAGAATTATGTGATTCGCTGATAGCAAATATTTGGGGAGAGTACAAATTTCTGAAAATTAGACAATTTTTTTTAATTTGCCAGATGAATTTTGCTCTGAGAGTCTCTGTTGTCCTAGTCTGTCTCCTGTGTCTTCTTTTTTTTTTTTTTTTTTTTTTTTTTTTTACTGTGCATGAGCTGTTTTTAATTTGTTGTGCTGTTACTAAAGTTCTGAAGGCTGCAGTTAAAACATTCCAATTTCTCCCTTCCATCTTTATTGATTCTCAAGATTTTACACAGAAAATTCTTTGGGGGCTAGAACAGCAGT